GTAGCCCGGGCTTGTAGACGATGTCGTAGTGGAAGTGAGTTTCCAGGAAGTCCACCCACCGCACCTGTCGTCGTGAGAGTGTCGGCTGTGACTTCAGGTATTTGAGACTGCAGTGGTCAGTATAGACTGTAGTCTTGGCTCCCTCTAGGTAACACCTCCACGCCTTGAAGGCTATGACTATCGCTAAGGCTTCCTTGTCGTGAATGGGGTAGTTTAGTTCTGCTCCGTGTAGCTTCTTACTGAGGTAGGCGATGGGCTGCAAACCGCGTCCGTGATCCTGCATCAGTACTGCTCCGACTGCTTGGTCACTAGCGTCTGCTTCCACCACACAGTCCTTGTCTTGATTCAGCAAGATGAGTACTAGCGCTGTAGTCAGTGCTGTCTGTAGCTGCTCCATGGCTTGCTGATGAGGGGTATCCCATTTGTAGGGCGTATCCTTTTTCAGTAGGTCGGTCTGTGGCGCTGCTATCATAGCGTACTGCGGCACGAACCTGTTGTAGTAGTTGGCGAAGCCTAGGAACTGCCGTAACTCCTTCACTTTCTCTGGTACTTTCCACTTCTTGACGGCTTCGATCTTCCGTGGGTCCACGTGTACGCCCTCGGCACTCACCATGTGTCCGAGAAAGTGCACCTTCTTCAGGGCGAAGTCGCTCTTCGACAACTTCTTGTAGAACTTGTTTTTCCGCAGGATCTCGAACACCTTCCGTAGATGCTCCACGTGCTCCTTCATGTTCTTGGAGTAGATGAGAATGTCGTCCAGGTACACCACCGAGCACTCGTCCAGCAGGGATCGTAAGATGTGATTCATCTCCGCCTGAAACGTTGCTGGTTCGTTGCAGAGTCCGAACGGCATCACCAGGTATTCGTAGGAGCCGTATCTGGTCCGGAATGCTGTCTTGTGGACAAAGTTGTCTGCCATCTTGATCTGCCAGTAGCCCGATCGTAGGTCCAGTTTCGAAAATACTATTGCTCCACGCAGTTGATCGAGTAGGTCGTCTATGCGCGGTATGGAATATTTGTTTTAGACTGTCTGTTTGTTCAGTGCGCGGTAGTCGATGCACATCCGTAGACTGCCGTCTGGTTTTGGAGTGAAGAGAACTGGTGCGCCGTAGGGAGAGGTGGATGGGCGGATTAGTTGTCTGTCCAGTAGATACTCTATCTGTTTTTTCATGTCTGTCAGTTCAGTCGGACTCAGTCGGTATGGTGCACGTGAGACGGGTTTCGCACCTGGTTCCTCCACGATCTTGTGCTCGTGGGTGCGTGTTGGAGGTACGCCTGCAGGTAGGTCGTCGGGCATTATATCCTTGTACTTCTCCAAGACCTCCTTCACTGCTGCAGGTAGCTCGGAACTCGGCTTCTCCTCCTCTGCTGCTGCCATAACCGGTGCTAGGTAACCCGTGTTACTCTCGTTCACCGTCTGTTTGAAGCGTGCCAGTGTTGTTTCAGGTACGTCCCCTGTATCCGTCCAGCTTCGCAGTGCTATCCGCCTCCCATTGTTGTAGATGCACACCTTGCTGTTGACCCAACCGATCTCGGGGTTGAACCGCTTTAGGAAATCTCGCCCCAAGATAAAATATAATCCTTTGATGCTGGTGACTGGTAGCTTCGGCTTCCACCTCAATGCACCTATATGCAGTTGCAGTGATGCTTCGCCGTGGATAGGAAGCTTCGTACCGTCCACCATGGTTGCTGAAAACTGGGTCTCTTCCGCCTTCTCTCCAATTTTCTCCAATGCTCCGCGGTCACACACCGAGTGAGATGCACCGCTGTCCACCAGTGCCTGGAGGCGTCGCCCATTGCATAACACCTCGAGGAGTAGTGGTTTCTGCTGCGCTGAGTAGCCAAAGAGGGTCTCGTTAATAGGATCATAGGGTACATCAAACTTAATACCTTCCCATTTTCCTATACCTGACTCAGCGCTTTCCAACTTCACCTGGGGGGTAGGAGGATTTTTCCGAGGCTTGTGTAATTTCTCCTGAGCCTGGATGTCTCCTCTAAGCCTTGGCAGCTGTGTAGGCTTCACCTGTGGGCAACGGGGAGCCTTAACACTGTGCTGCGGGGAGAGAATATTAACTCCACGGAACGCACGACCCTTTTCTACGTTCCGTAGTACTTTGCCCAACTTCTCAGGTACCTGAATAATTTCTAAAGGCTTTTTCTTGGCCTCTAGACCTCCCCTGAATTTTTTGAAGGCTTGTAAACAACGAGAAGCAATATTCTTCGTTAGAGCATCTTTATAGGATACTTTTAACGAATTCTTACTTTCGTGGGTGTTCGGCTGGAGTTTCCCGGTCGGTGCAGAGTCTTTTTTTGCGGAGCCTCCATTCGCCTCGGCGATTTCCCCTGATGCCGATCGGTCGTGACGTTTTAAATTCGCGCCATCTTTTTCTCCTTTTTTCACCCGCTCCGAAGTCGCCACGTCGTCGCCTTTTCCTGTTTTTCGGATCTTTATGCGATCGCCAGGTCGATCCGCGGCTACTGGCGATTCCCGTTTTTTTGACTTCGGGGGTGCTCCACTGTTTCCGTCCTGGAGTGCCGCACGTGCTTTCTTCATTTTGTAGCACGACAAAAACTGATGTCCTGCTGCGCCGCAAAATTCGCATTTTGTCGGCTGCTGCTTCGCGTCGTATTTGTCGATATCCATCGGTTCGGCGAACGTGGGGGGTGCCAATCGCTCCGTGCCGAATGTACGGTTCGGCGTGAAGCGTCGTGTTTCGGGTTGACTTTGAGTCAGCGCGTCGTATCGCTCGGCAGCACGCACAATGTCTCTGTAGCTGTTGTAATTCGCCGCAATCACCTGCCACCGAATCTCCATTTTTAACCCTTCGGTGTACGCCTGGATTTTTTCGCCTTCGGTCAGGTCGGTGATGCAGTTGAACAGTAACTCCATCTGCTGCGTTTACTGTGTTACACTACTGTATTGCTTGTGTCGGTCTATCTGCTGCCGTGTCATGAAGGTTGTATTAATTGGTTCGAAACGCTCGATTAAATCTGCCCGAAACTGCTGCCACGTTTTCTCCCCGCGGGCTACGTCGGTGTAGTAAATCCATTCGAGAGCCGGTCCACGTAACAGTGTCGCTGCGAGCCGAATCCTTGCTGCGTCCTGTTGCGGGGTCGAACAGCCAATGGCCTCGAAGTAAATTTCGAGGGTGGCCACGAATCGCCGGACGTCGGATCCCTTCGCGCTTGGATCGAACGCCTCCGAAAGCCTCGGTTGTGCTGCTTCGAGGTTCGGCGACAGTGGTGCCATTGGTCCGTGAAATGTCGGTGTCACCACTGCTGCTAGAGTTGTCGGTGCTGCAGTCGCTATGGTCGCTGCTGCTGCGGTGGCGAACCCTGGTTGGCTTGTCAGAAAAGCCTCGAGTCGACGAAGCGTCGCCTACGTCTGCTCCATGTCGGTGCGGAGGCTCGCGATGTCGCTCGTAGTAGCGTAGTTGTCGCCTTGGCCCTCCATGCCTGACATCAACGCGTCCGAAAAACCGAATCGAGGGGGAGCGAAAAACACGGAACCGGTTTTACGTACACGAAATCGATGTTTGACTGCGTCGCCCCCGCGGTTTTTGGAGACTAGTTTTTTTTGCGGTCGAAAGAACTTCGCGTCTAAACAGACTCTGATTACCAAGTGTGAGGATCTAGGATCGAGTTCAGAAAAGAGAATGAGAATTGAGTCGAATTGAATTGAATTGAATTTGAATGTCCACCTGGGTACAACACGAGGCTATATATAGGCTCGACACAAGGCCCCGTAACCAGGTGTTACGCGAAGGTTCCGCGGGTCGCGTAGCGTCCAGAACGGATCCTGACCGAATTCGGTAGAAGGCAATTCGGTGGCAACCGAAAAGCCAGAATTCGGTGCACGCAACCTAGCTCGGTGCTATAACTATAATAAAATATAGGAAAGCACCTAGCCTAGGAAATCAAGCAATTCATGCATGCATATAATTATCCTATGCTAGAAATAGCATGATAAAGTAAAGGCAAGCAAGCATAGCTCGCATAAGCCGTCGTACTCTCACACTGGAGGAGACGGAAACGGGACAAGCAGAGGAGCACTGGAAGGACACAGTACCATCTCGTGTGTGCCAGGGTCTGCAGGAGGACGCAGACGCGCAGTACGACCACTAGTGCAAGCAGCACGAACAGGCGACGCAGGACGAGACGCAAGCTAACGACGCTCAGCAAGACCTTCAGTATGACTAGTGTAGGGAGAAGGAGCAGGTAGAGGGGAGGTGGGCTGTAACTGTGACTGCGACCGGACAGGCTGTGGACACACTAAAGGAGGAGCAAGACCAGTAGAGGGCGGGAGACCAAGAACCAACTCCACGAGCGGAACCAAGTACAGCCTCGGCCGCACAGCGCCTCCAGAACCAGCAAGGATGGCACCAGTACCCCCAGCGGCAGCACCAGCGCCAGTAGCATCTCCAGCTCCACCAGCGCCAACTCTAGCACTCTCAAAAGCACCAGTGCCAGCAGCACCACCAGCACAAACACCAAAGCAGCACCAGCTCCAGTAGGACCGTGAGCTCTAGCAGCCTCAGCAGCACCCCCAGATGCACCAACGCCAGTAGAAACACCAGCGCCAACACCCCCAGCAGCTCCAGCTCCAGCAGAACTAGTACCGCAAGCAGCTCCAGCAGGACCAACTCAAGTAGCTCCAAAAGCACCCCCAGTCTCAGCAGCATGTCTCCAGCGGCGGGCAAACCACTCGCGTAGCTCCTGTAGAGAGAATCGCTACAGCGTCGACGGTGAAAGGAGAGTATGGTGGGACAGCAGACGACACGAGAAGGGAGCAGACTCAGGACCGGACCTGGACGCTGCAGCAACACCTGACTCGACGCAGCTACCTGGGCAGCCTCAGCAGCCGGAGGAGACTCAGTAGTAAGGGTGTACAGGCTCGACCCTGGCCGACGGGTGAACGTGGCCAAGTGTCGGCCTGTCCGAGCACACGTGCAGTGGGTCACTCGCTGACTCGCAGGAGTGAACTGGTCAACCCCCCTATCCTATAGGTCCGCTCCACTCACCAAGTTCGTAGAGAACGAGGGGAGGTAGAGACCTGACAGGGTGCCAGAGGGGGCTGCTGGGCACGGTAAGACAGTGGAGAAGCTAGCAAGGACAGGACCCCCAGAGGGGTCTACCAGGGAGACTGCAACCGGCCGACTGAGCGGCGTAAGAGTGGTGCGGTCTCGAAAGAAGGAGCGGGACGCACCCGAGTCAAGGTCGAAGGTGTGTAAGGCCTGAGCCGACGTAGTACCTGAGAGCGCAGACTCACCAGCACCTGGGGCAGTAGACGCACTAGCACTTGAGGCAGCTGTCGCACTAGCACCTAGAGCTGCAGCCTCACCAGCACCTAGAGCAGTAGCCCCAATGCCCAGGTCAGGCGTTACACATAGGTAACAGTCACCCACAACACTATCATCAACAACATACGTGGCAGCAAGAATAGCATCTTAGTCAAGATCAAAGACGGCAACCCTCGCCCGAGACAGATCTCCCCAGCGAGGGATCTCTGTCGCCTCAAGGAACTGGTGACGCCACGCGTCCGCCAGGCGACCGAAGCAGCGCTGGGTGGAGTGCGGGCCTCTGCACTGCTCACCAGCTCGGTCGCCGGTACGGAGGACGTAAGTGCAGGGACCAAAACCCCCATCGCGCTAACACGCAGTGTACCACTCACGAAGATGCTGAGGGGTCAGGGTCACACCACTCCGCTGCTGGTGGCGCGGACCACCACATGAGCCACTCCTGTACGCAGAGTCGCGACCCGCTCCAACACCGCCGCCGCCACCGCCGCCTCCGCCGCCTCCTCCACCTCCGACTCCTGCGCCACCTCCGCCGCCTCCGCTCCCTCCGCCGCCTCCGCTCCCTCCGCCACCACCACCGCCTCCGCCTCCACTTCTGCCGCCGCCGCTGCCACCCCTGGCACCACTCCCACTACCACCCCCACTCCCACTACCACCCCCACTCCCACCACTGCCTCCACCACCACCTCCACCACCCCCTCCAGCCCCTCCAGCGCCCTTGCCCCCCTTGCCCTTGCCGGTGCGGCGTTTCCCGCTCGGGGCAGACGCAGCGCCGAGCGACTTGAAGCCAACGAGGCCGGCCGCAACAGCAGAGGCAACAGAGGGGGGAGGGAGAACACCTCTCAAAGACGCGAGTGCGAGGGTCACCACGAGAGGCTCCTACAGCGACTATGCTCTTCTCTGCCGCAAGGAGGGCCTTCTCGAGGAGGTCAACAATGAGAGTGGTGGGGCAAACTTAGAGGAAGTGGTCCCTGACTACGCGGAGAGAGTTAGGGAGTCGACTCACTATGTAGTAGATGGTGATGTACATGGGGGGGGGGGGTTCTTGGCGCAGAACTCAGCAAGAAGCGCAGCGCGGTAGCGAGTGTCACTAGTGCGGAGGTGCGTAATGAGGTCAGCAACTGTGGGAAAGGCAGCAAGGTCAGGGAAGAGGTACGGTAGCATGAGGCGGCTCAGTGCAGCAGTGGCAGGGGAAGAGTAGCGTGCAACTACAGCGTCGTACAAGGTATGAGCACTCTTGTACTGGCTAAAGTGTGCACGCTCAGTGGTCGGTAAGTGGCGGCGCACAGCAAGGCGAGCAGCAGCATCACGCGTGGCCCACTGTGAGCGAACAGTGGCGTCACTATTAGCAGCAGGGGCAATAGAGGCACCAGAAGTGAGTTCAAACAGTGAGAGACCGTCCGCCCTATCACAGTGTAGGAATAGCTGCAAATCATCTACCCAGACCTCAAAGTCAACTGCCTCACCCTGAGCGTCAAAGGTGAGAACACTAGGGGAGGCCATGACAGCAGTAGACAGGCAGTCAGTATAGTGTGGCAGGGTAGTGCAGTGGCAAAGACGTTGCTCTTACCAGGCAAGTGGAGCGGTCGGGCGGCTCGGCGGCTCGGCTGCTGGGCGGCTCGGCGGTCGGGTGGCTCGGCTGCTCGGCGGCTCGGCTGCTGGGCGGCTCGGCGGTCGGGCGGCTCGGCTGCAGGGCCGCTTTGCTGCTCAGCGGCTCGGCTGTCGGGCGGCTTGGCTGCTTGGCGACTGGGCTGCTCGGCGGCTCGGGCGCTGGGCGGCTGAGCGGCGACGGGGCCGTGGAAGGGCGGCGGCGGGGCCGCTAAAAGGGGCTGACGGGTTGCTGAAAGGGCGGCGACGGGCTGCTGGAAGGGCGGGCGGAGACGGGGCCGCTGAACGGGCGCCGACGGGGCCGCTGAAAGGGCGGCGACGGGGCCGCGGAAGGGCGGGCGACGGGGCCGGTGTAAGGGTGGGCGGCGAGGCCGTGGAAGGGCGGCGACGGGGCCGCTGAAAGGGCGGGCAGCAACGGGGCCGCTGAAAGGGCGGCGATGGGGCCGCTGAAGGGCGGTGTCGGGGCCGCGGAAGGGCGAGCGACGGGGCCGGTGTAAGGGTGGGCGGCGAGGCCGTGGAAGGGCGGCGACGGGGCCGCTGAAAGGGCGGCGACTGGGCCGCAGGAAGGGGCGGCTACGGAGCCGCGTAAAGGGCGGCGCGACGGGGCCGTAAGGGCGGCGCGACGGGGCCGCAAGGGCGGCGCGACGGGGCCGCAAGGGCGGCGCGACGGGGCCGAAAGGGTGGCGCGACGGAGTCGTTAAGGTCCGTAAAAGGGGGCTGCTAGAGGCCGCTAGAGGGGGAACGACATGGGGCGCGACTCAGGCAAAAGCCAAGCGTGCTCCGGGCAGGAAAAAAAAAAGTCGGTGGGCCCTAGGAACAGTTCCTACAAGGGAACCAGCTCTATACCATGTGAAGATGAGAATAAGAGAATGATTGAACTATGAAAGAGTTGGGTACAAGTACTAACCCTAATTGGGTTGTACCCCTTATGGGCTACCCCACTACAGCCTACACAAATGTATAAGCTACAATGTTCTGACACATATGTGTAGTCACAAAGTAGAAGAAGGTTGCTTCAAGTTTCAGTAGATTTTCCCCTCCAGGTTACTTAGGGTATTGAGCGAGCTGGCTAACAATAGGATAGATCCGGAAGACAGATTACGGCGGCAAAGAGTAGACTGCCGAGAACCTGCTGATAGCATGTAGCACCTACGGCGGACAGGACTTCAGTGTCTACTGAAGTAGTGGAACGGAACGGTGTAGAAGCCGTAGTTGTTGGGAGAGGAAATCACATGTGAAGCTTCTCCACAAATTTCTAGCCGGTAGTTGAATAGAAGTCGGTGTCTTGGTGATGTTGGGACCGAGTAATTGCGTCATTGTAGTCAAAATAGTAACTGTGAGATCCTCCTGTAGCTCCCCATCAAATTAACCAAGGATAGCCGCGGTGATCCCGAAGTATAGTAAATCGTCCACGTAGACAATGAGAAGCACGAAGGCGGTATGTTTTGTGATCGTGCGGTAGCTGGAGAAATCCAATACGAATCAGACGATCGTGAAGATGCTGGTGCCAGAGACGAGGAGCCTGTTTCATCCTGTATAGTGATTTGTTTAGGTGGCAAACAAGTGTGGGATCCTTCACGGAGCCGAGCGACTGCTCGATGAGAATGAGTGTGTCGACAAGCGCGTAGAGAAATGCGGTAGAATGCAGTTGTGAAGTCGAGTAGAATGCGAAAAGACATGTAACAGCTAACTAGAGCGAATGCCTCGCCATAGTCGAGTCCCTCCTTGTCGATGTTGCGAACAACCCAACGAGCCTTGAAGCGCTCGATCGTGCAGTCCGCGTTGGTCTTGATGCAATCAAACCCTCTTCCCAGAGAGAATGTTCTGGTTAGAAACGGTCAAAATGGGGATTTAATCCCACGTGTTGTTATCTTGCAGTGCCTTTGGTTCATTGTCCATAGCTTTGCACCATTTCTCACGATGAGGCCCCGTGAGAGCTTGCTCCAGTATATTAGATTCGACTGTAGAGTTTTGTACAGCAATAGCTAATCCCAGTATTTGTAAACCTGTCTGATGATTGCGAGTCTATGACTCCGTTTCGGTGGTAGCTGCTTCGTCACTAGTGTCAGGGTCGAAGTTAAAACCGGGTCCCAAACACTCACTTTTGTTAGAAGCAACGGGGACAGGTGTAGTTGCCCCGTTATCAGCAAAGGAGTAGTAAGGTTCGGAGTTGACGTCATTGTGGGAATCGTCCTCATTGATTTCGATCGGAGCTGAGTAGTAAGGGGCGGCACCGGTAGCTGCTGACGCACCCGAGACAACTTCTTCCAATGCATCTGCTTCGTCGGATTCTGTGGCGAAGTTGCGTACTCCAGAAAACCCAGTGGCCAATCTTCATTGTTGGCGCGCTGTACCGGCCAAGAGTCATGAGGTGCTCATAGAATAGGACATCGCGTGCTGGAACTGGTACCCAATATTTGACATCCTAGATTTTCCGAGCTGCGAACTGTTTTTTGATGCCGAGACAAATACCTACATTCTCCATTGAGAAAATCTCCCAGCATGTTTATTCGGCGGCCGGTACTTTACCACACACCAAAAAATTCGTAACATTTTTGTGCTGCCTAGTTTTCCTTTCCACTCCTTGTGTGGTGATGAATTGTTTGGCAGCGATACTGATGATGCGAGGTCGTGGATTAACACTGCGTGGTCCATCGCGAATGGCCAATGCCTTGTTGGCAGATTGGCTTCTATGAGAAGTTTGCGCATGGTAGTCTGGAGCATTCTGTTCATCCTCTCTGCGACACCGTGCTGTTGATACTAATAAGGCAGCGACTATTGCTTCTTGATTCCTCTTTCCACTAGGAAATTCTTAAAGCGTTGAGAGAGGTATCCGAGAGCTCTGTCATTATGAAAGCTTTTCAATTTTAGATCACTTTCTCGTTCATTTGCAGTAAGCCAGGCGACGAATGCATCGTAGGCGAGGTCATGCGACATTATGAGTGTATGCCAAACGTAACGCGTAGCAGCATTGACAGAGGTAATTAAATTATTTAAATCCGCTTGACCTTCGAGCCGTGGTATCACTATAATGTCTCTATAACTCTTTTTGGGTGGTTTGTATGCAAGTGCTCTCGGGTTGTGGTGAGACAGGAACAGTTGCCGAGAAAGATCTGCTTCGGGAGACAACATGTAGATATATTGAGGTCGGCGAAGCTCCTGTTTACCTGTGAGAAATAATGCGTCTTTATCGGATACTCCTGCTCGTATAGTGTTGTAAGTTGTTGAACCGCTCAAATGCCCAAATCGCTTAAGCCGAATGTGTCAGAATAATGCTATAGGCTGTAGTGGGGCACTCCTTATGGGGTACAACCCAATTAGGTTTTGCTATACAAAACCTGTACTGCTGTCATTCTAGTCATTAATTCTTCCTACATTCTGACATGGTTTCAGAGCAGGTTCCCTAGTGGAAACGTTTTTTTTTTAGGGCCCACCACGATAACGATATTTTTCTTGCCCTGCCCGAAGCGTGCCTCGCGCCTGCCTCACCTGCGCCGTCGCGCGCCCTGCTTTACTGCCGCCCGTAGAGGCCCTGCCCTCCTGGCCCATCGCGGCCCTGCCCTAACGGCCCGTCGCGGCCCTGACCTAGCCGCTCGTTGTTAACAGAAATCGAGTGTTGGCCCCGCCCTCGCTTGGGCAACGCCGACGACTTGGTTGGATGTACGGGAGTAGCAGCCGACCGTTCACAGTGGGAGAGCTGCTCGACAGGCGTCGTCAAGCTGCAGGGGACCGCAGTGGTGCTGCTGTCGACCAGGGAGCTTGACAGCTGCAACTGGTCTGGGCGACGGGTGGGTCGTCGACTAGGAGGGGCAGTTTGACCGGAAGGTCTCCGTCGACCTGCAGCTCGTTCAGGGGGTTCCCGCCGACCTGCAGTTCGACCGGGAGCACTCCGTCGACCTGACAAGTGAGCAGCGGTCGACGAGGGGAGTTCGGCGACAATCGCTGACGGTTCTGGTCGACGGAAGGGGTCCGTCGACCAGGGGGTAGCTCGACGGGGGTTGTGGTCGACCACAGGCACCTGGTGGTCGACCAGAGGGACCTGATGGTCGACCGGAAGCACCTTGTGGTCGACCGAGTCGACCTAGTAACCTGCTCGAAGAGTTCTGCGGAGGCACGCGAACGTCGTCGAGGTTGCGATGGCGCAGGCGACTGCGGGCTGGTATCTCGGAGTCGATGTGGCTTGTCAGGCGCAGACAACAGCTGACGCATGCCCAACAAGGCAAGTCGGGCCAATCGTTTGCGCGCATCTGTGAGCGTGCGCAGCTGTGTTCTACGGGGCAACGCTGGACAGCCGCTCTGGTGCAGCGTTGGCACGTCGTCGACCTGCTTTGTTGGCAGGTCGCCCTTCTATAGTGCTGGCGCGGCTCCTCTACGCAACGCTAGCAGGCAGTCGACCGAGCTTGTTAAATTTAGAAGAGAGAAGAGGGCTGCACTAGCAAGAATGGGGACACAAATAGGAAACCCTAGAAGGGTTGTACTCGCTATAGAGCACCCCACTACAGGCTAGAGCATAAGATAACATTCTGACAGAGCTGTGCTGGCGGTCGACTAGGCTAGCTGCAGGATTGCTGGTGCCTGATGTAGTCATTTTGTCATTGCTTTTTCAATGATTTTCTGCAATTCCAACTCTGCCTAGTGGAAACTCTTGCCAATTACTCCCGTATATGCGCAAGCACTAACGAACTAAGCAAAGCTACGATCACCTCTAGTTGTTCGTGCCAACCCCCATAGTCTAGCTCACCACCGTTGTAGAGTGCATCTCTCCAAGGTGCGGTGAGCATGAACGGCCCCGCAAATTACCTTCAGATAGGAGCCGACTTTTGCACCTACTAAGTCGTTCGTAGGCCGACAGCAGCGATAGTCACCATGGTTGACCCCGTTGTTGATGCGGGTGT